ACTAGGATTTGCTTTTCCATGCCAGCTRTTTTTGTGATGTACCACAACCCTTCAGTGCCTCAACAAATTGCACTTTTCCTTGTGTCCCACGCTCCAGTGCTATCTTAGGGCTCCCATGCAGTGGTGAATGTACCCAGACATGCATGAATGACTCCCAAGTGATATTCCTTGCAGTGCTGAAGACTTTAATCAAGTCCCACTGTCAGTCCTTGGGCTGAGTCTTCCTTCATGTTTCTGGGAGAGCAGTGACATTAGAAATTTCCCACAATCCTTGCCTTTTCCCAGATTTCTGTKTTGTATTGGAAAAAGGACAGAGGAGAAGAAGCAGGAATTACTTCCTTTCTTGTCATCATGGCAGACAGGTAGAAGATGGCTCTGCTGTGGACCAGGCAAACAGCAGAAAGWCTGCAACAGGGATTTTGTSTGGATGAAAGAGGAAACATCTCAGYATGGTGGAGGACTRTAACAAACGATTTGCAGGGGTAAAGCTTTCCTAGCCAGAAAGCTTTGAAAATAGTCTGGATGAATCTGTGTCAGGAGAGCTGTACAGGTGGGGAGGGATCTGAGTTAGACAGGACAAGGGAACYTGGAGCAGGCAGGCCTGGGTTGTGTGCTTGGAGGTGTGTGTTGGCTCCAAAGCATCTGTCTCCTGTGTGCAAGTTGGCAGGAGACACTGGGGAAAAGCAAGGTAGGAGTGTCTGTGTGGGTAACTGARTCTTTGCAGTGTTTTTATCTGTCCAGGTAGAATTAACAATAAGCCCCAGCACACCGACTCCATCTGATTGTATTTATCTGAGAGAAGAAAGACTTCATGATAATCCTGCTGACAATTAATTGGCTTTTGTTCAGCAAGAGTGAACAAGATCTCATCTTAATCTGTTTCATTAYTTCTTCTTGTATAGCACAGTCAACACAAGATTAGGTTTAATTTACAAAAAAATACGAAGTCATTACTCATATCTGGATCAGGATTTTATCTGCTTCATTTTGCAGTGCTTTGTGTGTCAATAGTAACGAGTGCAGCTGCWCTATGTGTGGTGAGGTAGAAATAGCACTGCTTGACTTCAAGACCTTTTGCAAGCATTACAGGTATGTGATTATTTGATATGATCCTTCCTCTACCTTCAGCTCTTCAGAAAAGATGTTTTGTGCTCAGGGAAACTTGGGTTTATACCCCACTGCATTTCAGTGCYTCTGAACATGGTACATTTGCAAGATACTCAGTTTTCCATGTGTTGTGTGTCACTGCCAAAGCTTCCTCTCCTCCCTGCCAGTGCCCAGTCCCCGTTCCTGCTGCAGTGAGATGTGTTTTCCTGTGATCTATCAGTCCAAGGACCTCTCTTATGGCTTTAYTGCAGCCTCTCTGGGAGCACTGATCGCACTATGGTTAATGGGTCTGCACAGATATCAGYTCCGGATGAATTGCTCTTGAGTGCCTGCAAGGAAGGTCAGCCAAGGGCATGTGTGATGTGTCTGGGACTCATCCTGTAGCCTGGGGAGGGCTGCAGAGCTCTGTGTGACAGGAGATGGGCAGAGGGGCTGTCAGTGCCTGAACACGGTGCACAGGGGGACACAGACAGCCCTGCTGCTCTGGGTCAGACTCTTCTGAGTCTTGTGGGCTGCGTTAAGATTAGAAGATAACGCTGCACGGAAAGGCRTATTACTAATTTGAGTGATACTTCAATGCTCTWGGATAGTGTTGAGAAAATCGTGCYGCTACCACTCGAATTTGAAAGGCTRTGTTCAGGCAACTTTCACTGCTCTGATTACTCATTGCAGTTTAAAAGGCTGTTTGCATCCTAAAGAGGTGTGCTGTGTCTGCTGCCCAAGAGGCAATAATCCTTCTGAAATCTGTGTGGATGTCCGAGATGGCAGGATAAACATTAGGGTCTGTGCAGCAAAGGCTGCTCTGCAAACCACGGCACTGCAGCAGGACGAGAAGAAAACACCTAAACTGCAGCTGGAAGAAACAAGGTGCTTTGCTCAGACCCAAAACACATCCAGAGCGGTACAATGACATCTCTTGTGCGTCACTCGGCAYGGAGAGAGCAGCAACCCCAGCAGCTCCTGCCTGCAGCCCGAGTGCCCTCTGCTGTCACCGCCCAGGGACGGGTTTGGGGAGGGTGGCACAGTCCCAGTTGTGCCTGACTGTCTTCGCTTCTCTGTTCCTGGGACAATCCTTCCTCAAGTGTCAGTCTTAATTATGAATATCTTGTTCTGATTTTCTGTGAATCTTTGCTTTTCACACACACTGCTTTGTAGGGAGCTCGGCTCTCTYAGGCAGTCCTTGTGCTTGGCAGCTTCTGTGAGACTTCCGTAGCTGTTCTCTCTTTAATTCCAAAGCAAGTGGAACTGTAGGGAAGCATCCTATTCTGGGTCCTTATTTCCCCACTAGGTAAGGAGACTGAGGCCAGGGCAGTCASTGCCCTGAGGACATCAGAAGGAGCTAGCTGGATGGAAGGAGAAGCAGGGATCAGATTAGCTCAGTGACATGGCTGTTGGCACGTGGACTGTTTACATGTCTCCTAAGGTATCTGCAGGATGTGGGACAGCAGTGAAGGAGGTGTGGGAGTGGCTGCAAAGGGAGATGTCTGCCCCAGGGAATGTTTCTTCATCAGTTCAGTGCTTTCCTTTGGGAAGATTTCTGCTCTTGACAGGTAAGGATAAATCCCTCATTTCCCATCCCATTAYCTGTGACCCTGCTGGTGCCTGACCCTGAGATTRTCYCATTTGTTTGGAGCATGGTGCTAMGAATACAACACACCAAGSTTGTGGGATCAATCCCTGKATGGGCCATTTACTTACGAGTTGTAYTCAGTGATCCTTGTGAGTCCCTTCCAACTCAGAATAAWCTRTCAATCTGTGAATCTCTGCTGCAGYTTYAGATCTTTAATGTCTCTGCTGTGGTTGATGCTCTGCTATCCTGTCTTTCAGGAAGTGCCATTCTCAGCCTCTATGAGCTGATTTTACAGGGAATCAAGCTCCTGCACTACCCTCCCTTTTACAACTGGCTCGAACAGCTGGACTACAAGCAACAGGGAATGGTCAGATAGATTATTTTTATTTTCTCCCACAACTGTCTCATCCCCAGTCTTGAACTGCCTAGTGTGGAGAAAACTCAATCTGTCCACAACCCCCCAGGTGGGTAATCATAGATGCTTCATATAGAAAAATTCAATTAGACTTGACAGGAGATGTATGATAGTACTTCCTTGCCAGGACCTCATATTGCTCTGTTCTGTTCCTCTGCAAGAGACTTACTGTAGAAGTTTAAATGAAAAAAAAAAAACTAACAAAAATCCCCAAAAACAAAAAGCAAAACAAAATTTAAAAACAAACCACCACTGTTGTGGTGGATGACAGCACCCGGGGGTCTGCTGGGGGGCTGAACTGCCCTGGGACAGCTGGAACTCGGTGGTGGAAAGACCCAACAACTCCTTTGAGAATTAGATGGTTCCTTCCAAGAATATGTAAATCCTCCTACCCCGGTTGGACCTAACCTGGTCCCTCACTGCACCCATCCCTTCCCCCACTGGTCACTGGATCCCCTTTGCCCTCTCTCTCCACTCTGTCCAGGTGATCCCACAGCTCCATATCTGGGGGCAGAGAACTGAGCTCTTTCTCTTCACCTCTGGATCCCCTCTGGGAATAAACTTCTGGAACATCCACGTGGACGAGCCCTCTGGTTCTTTGTCTCTGGTAAGGTATGAGCTACAAGCTTACAGGGTGTGTGTGTGTCAGCCTGTTACCAGCAAGGGTGATGGGGAATTCTTACTGCACAGCACCAGGGCAGTGCTGGCCAGAGCGATCTCCAAAGGCTGTGGAGACACTCCTGGYACACACAGAGGGATTAGACATACTCATGGATGTGAGTAATTGCTCCCCTGAGGTCAGCTATGCCTTTTATGAGCAGCTCTGTGAAGCAGAGGTGGCTGTTCCCTGCAGTGAGGTTGCAGGCACYGTCTTGGAAGAAACCTCTTGGAGGGGAGCAGGAAGGTCAGGACRAGCTTTGCAAGATGCCCCTGACAGCCAATGTCAACATGGGGTGTTGCTGCCATGAAGAGGGAGCACAAGGACAAAAGGCTCAGAAAACTGTGTTCATTGTAACAGAGCTGCTGGGGAGGATGTGTGCATTTAGTGCTTCAGCCTAGATAAACTCACAGTGGAGACCATGGTCCTACCCTAGCTGTACRAGGACCACAATATCCAAAGGGTTAATCCTTGTGAGTCCCTTCCAACTCAGAATWATCTGTCAATCTGCAAATCTCTGCTGCAGTTTTAGATCTTTAATGTCTCTGCTGCAGTAGTCGATGCTCTGCTATCCTGTCTTTCAGRAARTGCCATTCTCAGCCTCTACGAGCTGATTTTACAGGGAATCAAGCCTGGGGTTTATCCTGACTGTGAGCTGGTGACTTAGGAAGGGTTCAGTTTAACAATTGCATTGAGATRTGAAATATTGATCCCCCCACTGTACTGATTCCTTAAGGACTGAGAGCTGGATTTTTTCTTCTGTGGGGCAGGGAGTTGACAGTGACCTGAATATTAACTAACAGCTGCATTAAAGGCTGGGGTGGATAAAGCAGCACTGYGTGACAGTGTGTGCAGGGGTAAGGGAGGGGAAACAATTAAACTCTGAACTGATTCTGGTGCCTCCTGAGTCAGAACTAAGGCTGAGCTTGCAGTAGAGCTAGTGACAAATGATCTGGTAGGTGTGCAGCAGGGCTGGACTGTGTAGGAGCCTTCCTGGATCTTCTCTGTGCCTTGAATGAATTCCCACTATGGTTGAAGGGCACTTCTGCTTGCTGTTACACTGCAGACCCATTGCCCATCAAGTGCTTCTCAAGGGCCCAGGGTGCTGGGGAACAGAGCACGTATCTCTTTCAGGGACACCCTGGTATACAAGGTACAGTGACTCCTGCTTTTGGACTGGATTGGCTGACATGGGCCACGTAATCAGATGACAGATGCTTGAGCACAGGACACAAATAGCCAGCACACAAAAGAATATCCACACACAATTGTGTCACTTTATTATGACTGCCTGGACTCTGGCRTGGCTGTGGTTTGGGAGTCCTGTCTGCCTGTGGCATCCAGGTGCAGCTGTGCAGGAATCCTGAGGAAGCAGCAGGAACAGTGCCCAAGTGGGAAACTCTCTCCTTTGGCTGCAGGCAGTAGCAGTCATTGCATATGTAAGGGGGCACTTAAATGGSAGCCCAGGGAGGGAAGACAAAAATGTAAGCACCTGGTCTAGGTAACACCAGCTCTGTTAGGGGATGCTCTTCTGAGTGCGTCCTTAACTGGCAGGGACAGTAGTCTTGGCTCAGGGAAGCTCAGGGGCACGTTCAGGATGGGGTTTACAGCCCTAAGTGATATYGAGGCACATGTGGGAGAGTGATGTGCTGTCTTGACAGCAAGCACATGGTGGATGAAGAKGTGTACTTATTGCAGACAGTGTTAGGAAGCAAACAGCCTTCTGTGTCCTGCTAGAAAAGTCACACTGGATGACCAGGATGCTTGTTGCATGAAGCATGCAGAGGCCAGGAAGGGGTAGAAGAGTTTGTTTCCATTTGTTCCTGGACTCTATCCCCAATTTTTTCTAACCCATTTCCCCAAGTTGTTGCCATCTCTCTCTCCTCCTCAGCAATTACTCTCAGATGTCATCTGTGTGAGGGAGCCAAATGAAGCCCCAGGGTTGGACACCAGACAGGGTTCTGGTCCAAGCACTTTCCTTGATAAACAGATGCTGGGAACAGTGTAAGAGAAGAGGATCCAATCCCTCTTGCTTTGCATTATCACTAAAAATTAAACTAATAGCACTTGACAGCCAAGCTAGAGCCCCTCTGTGGTAAACAATGCTACCTGTTTATAAACAGGAGAAACCAAGCTTTTCACTGCAGGTCACAGAAGTTGGTAACAGGGCTCTGCATCTCCCTACCATGTGTTGAGACACAGGATCTGTGGATTTCTTTATTCTTTTCTTCCCACTCTAGCTTCCAGAAAATATACTTGCAGTTCCCCTAAAAGTTAAGGAGTGCTGAAGTCTGGGAAGTAGGCAGGAGAGATGCCTTGCTTAGGCTGAGTGCTAGGGATTAGAGGCCTAGGAGAGGACATCCACAGAATTTATAGGTGATCTCCTGTCTGATGGAGAACATCAGTGCAAGTGGTGAGGCTGAGTCTTGCAGTGCATTCACAGATTCATTCACATTCTCTGCACAGTCCCCTTGAGCAAGGATGGGTGCTGGCTCCTGGCATCTTGCACGCGTGTTCCTATACAGAAAGGCCATATGCTCTACAGCCAGAAGCAGCACCATGCAGAAACCATCCAGAGGCCATGGGATGCCCTGAGGGAAGTCAGCTCCAGCATGCAGGTCCCAGTTCAGCATAGCTATGGCTCCACTGTCACGCTGCTGTTGGTGACACGGACACCATACCATCCCTTCCAGAACAGCGTGTCCTGACCGCCGTGTTCAAAGCGGACAAAGCGGACCCCAGGCCCATAGCTGGAAAAGGTGTGGGAGATCTTTGGGACAAGAGACAAAATAGTTGTTAGTGTCAAACCACCATGAACCTACCACTGTTCAATGCACAGAGCCTTCAGCCCCACTGGCCACGGTCAGGCCTACCAGGCTGTAACAGTGGGGACATTTACAGTGGGAGAAACTTTGATCTCAATTGTTCAATGGCCACTTAATCGCTCCCAGTTGGACATCTCTTCACCTTACACCTGCAGTGGTAACTCAGCAAGTTTCCAAGTTTTCTGTAAGGTAGTCTCCCTTTTCCTTGCTCACTCATAGGGTTATGGCTCCAGAGAACATGATAGAGCTTTCTCCTCCCCTTGGAGAATTCTCCTGATTCATGTAGGTTGGGTGTCACTTACTGAGGCCATAGCTGTAACTCACCTCAGTCCAGCTGGCATCATTGTCCTCTGGGATGGTGATAGTCTCACTTTTGTACTCAGCCAGCACATCCTCATTCTCAGAGAGCAGCCTCACACACAGCTCATAGAGGCAGCCAGCATCACTGCGTCCTGCATACCTGCATGGAGAGCCAAGCTGTTGGGATTATCTGTAAATGCTCTGCAAACGTTCTACCACTCTCACCAAGTTACTGGGGGCTTGGTTTGAGATGGAAACCTGTGATGGTTCTTAGCCCAGCCCACTGCTTTCCCTCATTCACCACAGGAATATGGGATTTGGAGTTCATGTGCTCCAACAGTTTAAAGCTTGTGGGAGCTGCCTGTAAGCCCTGTCCCACATTTAGGATCCTGGCAGCTGAGGTTTTAAGGCCCAGTATATATGAGGTATATGCCCTCCTTGCTCTTCCYTATCTTTCTTAATTCTGCCCATCCTCAGAGCCTTTCTTAATACTTACCAGTCTCTTACCATGATTTTAGGCTGGGTTGTATCCATCAGCTCTTCCCAGTAGCCCTCAGCCCTAAGGTCAATGACCTGAGCCTTTCGACACCACCTGAAACAGGAGATGTTCATTGGTATCACAGTCTCTCCTGGGACTGGAGGAACCAAAAATGCCTCGTTCCTGAGTAAGAGAAGAAAGCAGCCTTACTCATAAGACGTAACAAAGTATTTATGGACRTCTTCACTAGGAAATTCTTTTCCAAAGTCCCCTGGGAGCTCTTCARTTTTCCAGCCATCACCTCCATTCTCTATCTCTCCCCAGTGCTCCAAGTCTTCTAAAAACAGCAGAAAAGAGACTTGGATGAGTCCATGGGCATGGAGAACCTGACCACCTCTCACTGCAACCTTCCCCTGGCTTGGGAAAGTTTGATATTAGACACAGCACTGATTTTGTATGGCTATGGGTATGTTTGTTAAATAAAGGTCAAGCAAAAACCTTTAGTCTGACTGAGCCTAGTAACACCAAACTTTAACATTCCCCAGAAAAATGGCTGTGTTTGTGTGAGTTTGTTTAAGAAAGTACTCCAGGAAAAGAATTTAGGTGTTCTGATCAGTGTGTCACCATTTCAGCACAGAAAGAGCTTGGGGAGAGATACTGATTGCTTTATTTCTAAGTTTTCTACATCACTAAGTGGTATTTTTTTGAGCAGTAAGACCTTAAACATTGGGCTTTTTGAGAGGGAAACCTGGATGTTGGAAAAGCTTGCAGAAGGTCATCTGTAAACAAAATGGGGAAGCTGTGTTGATACTGCTTCAGTCTATGATGTGTGAAATTGTTGCTGCTTGGGTTGTGAGGCTTGGTTGCTGCTGCTTATTGCTAAGCACCTTGTAGCTCTGGTGAGTGAAATCCATCGGTTCAGAATAATGGTGTGTGTGCCTCTAACGTGGGCTGTGGTGAGGAGGGTAAAAACACGACTGGCCTGAGCTGCTCCAAGGAAAGAAGCCTGAAGGGCCTGCTGAGCTGAGGGCAGACTGGCCCAAAGGCTTAATCTCTCCTGTCCTGACTTGGCAAGAAGCAATACAGAAACACATGCCACGGCCATTACTGTGTTGGGTGGGTTCTGCAAAGGACATCATTGTGTCTCAAACACGATTTAGATCCCTGCAGAGGTTATATAAAGTTAATGTTAAGTAAAGCCCTTTGCAAAGGCTGACTGTCAAAGGTCTTCATGCCCACTAAATGATTTGGCTGCATGGAYTGAGTGACTTGCCTCTTGGGCAAGGAGAAAATGCTGCAATATGATAGCAACCATGATCTATTTTCAAAGACTAGAGATGTGCAAATGTCAGTGACTGGTCATTTCTGACACCTTGAGGCTTGYTGTAATGTCTCTCACCTTCACCACATGGGTTCTTTATGAGATTCTTCCTTTTCTTACTCAGGAAGTAGAAGTTTTGCCAGTTCTCTACCTCTTCCTCTGACTCTGCTCTGGTGAGGCCTTCCTGCTGACACTTCAGGATCCAMAGTGCAGCTCCATCAACCAGGTTCTTCCACTGGCAGCAGACCAGGCGGCACACCAGTATCAGATCCACTGCAGGTATAGAAGCCAGGATTTGGATAAGGACTCCTTCAGGRAGGGACTCCATCCCTGGGCCAGGCTGAGCAGAGCTGTCTGAGAGAGAGGGTGGAAAGGAGTGGTGAGGGTCTCCCACCCTCAGCAAGGTCAGACACTGATGCAGCAGTAAAGAAGGAAAAATAAGCATGTTATCTGATGGCATGATTTTGGGGTCATAGAGTGACCTCAAGGTCTTCTGTTCTTTATTAAGTTAATATCCTGAAGCAGATTAATGTTTTTATGTCCTAAGTAAAAGTCCTCAATTAAATCTGCCCACAAAATGTGTGCATTTGTGGGCAGTTTCTTCATTTTCCAGGCTGGAAATTAGTCCTTCCAGCATCTTTGCTATTGCAAAAATCAGTTTCTTAGTAATGATTTCCTCTGCAGAGGGAGGCACAAGGGTGTTTGTTCTACCCTTCAGAACATCCCTGATAACAAATGCTGCAAAGCAGTACTGAAGTATCAGCAATAAGCATCTTGCAGCCACCTTTGCAGTGGTTTATTCTGTATCTGACAGGCTTTCTGTCAGAGGGCTGGCACCTAATCTCCTTAGTCAGGAGCCTCTATAAAGCACAGGTAAAACTAACTAAAAAAAAAACCAACTAAAAATAGCTGATGTTCTCCAATATTCTATTTTCTATGGCCTCATARCTGGGGGAATTAAGTCAGAAGGTTTGCTCTAACTTCATGTGCTAATTCTGGACTCCAAACAGCTCTMTATTGCCCTGAGTTCCAGGCCCAGGTGCTGCAGGACTATGGAAAGATGAGTGTGCAGATTTGCAGCCCATGCCATCCATAAGGGATGCATTGTGACACTGCTTTTATGTCAGCTCAGYTCTGGTGCTGGGAAACTGCTGAGATTGCAGCAAACTGCATGGATGCAGCCAAACTCCTTAGGAATGACTCATTAAGCCTGGAAGAGCATAAGAACAGAAGTGAAATACCCTGGCTTAACAAAACTTAACAAAATACAAAATGCAACTTAACAAAATACAACAGTGCCAAACCTGGCAAGGGAAAGAAGAAACAGGGAGTCACTGCTGTAACAGCATCCTCAATCTAGATGTTCCGATGCAGAGCATCATATGTCCTCTATCTGCACTGCACCTCCTAGGGGCAAACTGTCATTTCAAATTCCCTAGCTTTTATGGAGGTAGCATTAGTGATTTCCTATTCTCTCCACATTTCCAACCCCCAACGACAATCCTGAAGGCTAAAATGTAATTTTAAAAAAGTAGACAGGARGGATCATGCTGATTTCATCTCGTGCAGAAATTACAGAAGCCTCTCCTGCTCCCTGCCTGCTGATGGAGCACTGTTAGCCTGGCTTTCCCCCGCTCTCGGAGGGGGGCGGAGGTACCTTTCCTGTCCCACGCCGGTTCAGCACCCAAGCTGTGAATGGCTTTGCATCACGGACACGCTCCCCGGCAGCGCCCGTCCCTCACCGTACCCGGGGCACAGGCGTGTCCCCCCTCCCTCCCTGCCCAGGAGACAGCCCAGAAAACCCGCAGGGGCTCGGAAGAGGCACCGAAAGCTCTTACCTGGGCACGGCCGGGCCGGGCTGGGTCGGAATACCCTGATGGGGTCCGTGTGTCCAGCTCGGGCAGCCCGGGCTCTGGAGATAAAGGAGCGCGGCCCCGCCCCAGCCCGCGAAAGGACCCGCCCCA